AGTAGCAATCCATTTCTACGTGCTTGATGCGTTCATGATACACCGGGTTGGCAGCTATGTGGAGAGTGTCTGGTTATCACAATAGAGAGGAGTAGATGTGGATGGCGTAACACCCAACTCTTGCCGAAGCCAACATAACGAAATCACCTCACTGACCGTACTCGAAAAAAGCTCGATACTCAGCTTCGGCAGACAAGAGAGCGACCACGTGTTGATTCTTGGTACCCCACGAGATAAGCACTCCCCAAAGAGTAATAACTTAACCCGTGGAGCGACGGGTGGATTGACAAACACCTCAATCCGTATCGCAGTATGAGACTAAATAAAGTGAGCTACAAGAAAGAAATAATAATCTCTTACCAGGCGCACCCTTCAAGTAGCATAGGGTGCGATTTCCAGCATCCATGTGAGCTTGGGTAGGTGAGTGAACAAACTGACTAAGAATATTTACAACATATGTGATATCTGGACGAGTAACAGTCAGGTATATATATGAGAGTTGACCTACCAAACGACGGTATGCGGCTGTGTTAGGATGATCACAGCGAGCATGCCGAGTAAGATGGTGATTCTGCGCAACAGGAAAAGCGCTGGGACGACTGCCTAACACCCGTGAATCACTCAAAATGTCTAGTAGATACTTGTGTTGGCTAAGAACCATGCCTTCCAGGAATCGTGAAACCTCAATTCCCAAGAAATAACGCAAATCACCTAGATCTTTGATGCTGAAACGCGCATGAAGAAAATCCTTGACATGGGAGATGAATTACAAGCTAGTACCGGCAAGAATTACATCGTCCACATAGATATGAGAGAGCATATTAATACTGCCCTAGCTAAAGAAAAACATAGAATGATCTGCCGGTAACGGCCGCAACTTCAACTCACAAAGAGCAGCTGTAAACTTGTGATACCAGTTCCGAGAGGGCTCGGCGAAGACTCTGGTTAGCGCATATATACTTTCTCATCCAAATTTCCATGGAGAAAAGATTTCTTGACTTCCAACTGACGAGTAAACCAACCCTTGCTGACAGCAACCGCAAGGAGGCAACTAACCGTAACAAGCTTAGCAACTAGAGCAAAGGTGTCATGAAAATCCACACCATCTATTTGCGTATGGACCTTGGCTACAAGACGAGCTTTATAACGCTCAACAGTACCATCCAATAAGAATTTGACATTGTATACCCACTTACATGCAATAAGGCGTTTACCAGGAGGTAAGAAAACGAGACTCCATGTCCCATTCTGTTCGAGAGCCAGTACAACTCTAGGAACATAGCACGACGCCAACAGTCATGGGGGACGACTTATAAAAATGTTTGAGGCTCTAAATGATGGCAAACTACAACAAGAAAATCACAGTAGTTAGGTGATAAACGAGTATATCCAAGATTATCAAAGATGGGGTAGTGAACTGAGTTCGCTTGACTCCCTGTATAATAAATGTCGAGGTATTTGGGAAGCACTCGCTGGCGGTCACCAAGACACGACGAACGAGGAGAGGGAGCATCATTCAAAGTGGTCATGTTTGGGAAAGAACAAAATGGACTAGAATTCGAAGCCCCGTTCGGCGATGCAGGAGAGCCAGATGGATGCGGCGACAAAGAAAGCTCATTCGTAGTTGAAACGGAACCAGTAGAATGTTGGTCCTGTGGCCGAGCGGAAGGTGTAGCAAACTCAGGCGAATCTAGCAAAGAAACAGTGGGATCAGGAAGAACCAATTCATCCTCTTGATCATCTAACAGGTGCTGAAAATGACATACCAGGTACCCAATGAAACTTTTGAGCTGTGTCAGACTGAAACGGGAATAGACTCACGGAAAACGACATCACAGCTAGTAATAATGCATCGTCTAGCAAGATCATACGCATGATAGCCCTTCTGAATAGACGCGTAGCCCAAGAAAACGGATGCACGCCTTCGTTCATCAAACTTCCTAAGAGCGGCGTGGGTATCCTTCCAATAGACAAGGCATCTAAAAACACGTAAATGGAAATACGAGGCTAGTTTACCAAATAAAACTTCATAAGGAGTTTGAACGGTAGCATTATGGGTAAACGGTTAATCAAGTACGCAATAGAGAGGATACATGTGTTAGGTAAACTATTGTCATGCATATGTGAAAATTTGTGTTCTTTCAGAAAATATGAAGCATGGTTGATATTGTTTCTGAGAACGCTCATAACCCGAAATGATCCGTAACCCGACCTGAAACCCAATGGGTTGGGTCAATATTTGACCCGAAATAAGTCAACCAAACATGACCCGACCTGTAACCGAAGTTCCCAACCCAAAATTACCCAACCCGACCCGATTGCCAAGTCTACCTTGTACTAATTAATTAAGACAATTTCTACTATCGTAGTTAACTGAATTAATTAATTAGCCTTAAGAACGATATCCCTAAAATGACTGCATAATTTCCTATTTAATCCACTATCGCTTCGATAGGCAATTATGTCATGTGAAATGTGTTCGGTTACTAGGTTTTCACTATCGTTATCAACCTAGAAAACAACAAATCATTGTGAAGGTGGCCAATCAATACAAAGGAGTAGAGAAAGTACTAAGTGTTGAAGTTAACCCCCAACTTACAAGAATCTTCCTTTCTTCAAAATGCTCAACTCCAAAGTGTGTCAAAGTGAGCTCTCTCCTTTTATTTTTCTCTCCAAAAGTGTCAACTAAGCTCCCCCTCTTGTTTTATTTTTCTGACCCTTTTAAGCCCAATTTTTACATATTTTTTTCCCACAAAACAAGGCACTTTCAGCTCCCATCCCCAAGAGAAAGCTGCTGACAGCTTAAGTCTCTTTCTTTGCAATAAATTCTTGCATCATTTTCTCTATTAGTGAGCCACCAAATCCATTTGCCCACTTCAAGAAGGTTGATCCAATCCCAATAATTTCTTAGGGTTGCTAACAGTTGAGTGAAGATTCCAACCAACAATAATTCGATTTGGGTCTTTATCGGTTTGGCGTCCTGCTAGACGTTTGCCACTGCACGTTTGCACTTTTCCACTGCACATGCATTCGTCCACTGCACTTTGTTTTGTTCACAATCTTAGTTTCAATCTGCGTTCAATCGCTACATGTCTTGGTAATGACACTAGGGTCATTCTATGGTCAATATGAACTAATTTAGAGCAATTTAAACACATAGATACATAAGGATCAATCATTTATACACATAATACATGTATGTTTATGAAGCTTATCAAAACCCAAAAATCTTCAAGAAGTAAAGTCCATCACGTATCTCCCCCTTCCCAATAACGTTCTTGGAGAGTAAGTCCTGTATAATGAAAAAATCACCAGAAAAATAAAGTCAACATGGTGTTCCTTACACAAGCAGTTGACAAATAAGTGGTTGCAAAAGAATTCGGGTACATGTAGTACCCGGGCAAAACCAACTCGTTACCCAACTGAATGGACCCTATCTGTTTAACAAAATGCTAGCCCCATTCGGAATACGTACTTGCTGGCTAGGTAAAAAAGAACTATGTGAACTCAAGAGATTACCATCAATCATGATATGCTCATTGCATCCAAAGTCAATAAGCCATTCGAATTCAGTAGAGAAGGTAAATGTACTAGCTATGTGACTCGTGAGATCGGCGACGCATCCAAATTGCGAACCAAAAAACTTTTTGAGTTGGTCTAGCTGTGAATGGTAAAGCCGGTGACTAGGCTCACGTCACTCTCCGCCTGGGAAGCACTAGATTCTCGGCTGTGACCGCGAGATGGGTCGCCATCACGCATAGAATCACGCCCAGAATCACAACTGAATCGACAAGGAGGCCGATAACCTTGCTTGTCTCGCAAAGGATAGCCAATGAGCTGAAAACAAGTCTCCTGAAGGTGACCATCAGGCTTGAGGCAGTGCGTGCAGATCATCTTATCCCTCTCACCAGACCCATGATCCAGAGGAAGACGAGCGTCGGATGTCGTGAGATCAGCCTCACCATGAGGAATAAAAGCGGCAGCCTCAAGTGAAGGTTTTCGGATTTGGGTGAGACTCCGTAGCTGTTCATCATTGAATAAGATCCGAAAGGCTTCCGGAAGAGACAACTGAGTTATCATAGAAAGTATTTGGATTCAAACTGTGGCAAACGATTCATCTAGCCCTAACAGAATATCAAGTAACTGGAGGCTTTCATTCTGGTCTCGACTCAGCCTCGCATAGTGTAGTTTGGCGACGACAAGATCATTTGTGTTTCCTCCCAGATCTTCCGCAACTTATTGTGTAAAAACCAGAAATAAATTTTTGTTCTCTTGTAGGAGCATACTCACATGACGATGCAACTCATAGGCGCACGTCAGATTACCTTTGCTAAACCAATCCCTTAGATCTTCCCAAATAACTCAAGCGATCTTAGCATGCATAACACTGCTGCGAAGCTCGGCCTCCATCGTTGTCAGAAGCCACCCTTTACCAGCGCATCACAACGCAGCCAAGTAAGAGATTACGGGGAACAGAACCATCAACGAAACCAACCTTATTCTTGGTCACAACTCACAAGGGCATCCGTCATCTCAAGTAACAACTCGCCATAATTCGATGAGGTCAACATGCTACTGACCTTAAGATGTCCTATGGAATCAGAATTATGAATGAAAAACGGGTTGTGAACGTCGATGTCTTTGTCACCAAAACCAGAGCTAGCAGACTTCGACATAGGCGGCATCTGGAGAGAGGAATCACCACCAGACATTATCCTCTATGATGAGAATCACAGCTCTGAGCTCGCATATATAGTAGAGTAAACCCTATATCCAACTGAATGACTATCTTGTCGATGCTCTTGTCTAATATCATCCAATCACAATGCATAAATATATTACAGCGAGATTTTCGGACATAAACTGTATAGCCAGGGTAGGGATGATATTACAAATGCATAAAATTTATAAAGTACAAGATGTTTGAGTTTGAATAGTTTTTTTGTTACAGGTTGATTAAAATATAGTTGGTAGGGAAGCAGTGAATTGTGTGTGATGTTTCAGCGTACATATATAACATGAATCAAAGGAACAATAAACATTAATTCTTGTAGCCATATCAAACTTATCGATCGATCATGATCATGTCGCTCTAATAGGCAATAATGAACTGCTTGATGCTGCAAATCAAAATTCAAGAATGAAGTCAAAATTATATGTGGTCCAAAAAATGGCACAATGAAGAAGAAATTCCAAGTCGATATTAACAGGTGATTCCACTTACTTGTCACATTTGAGGTTCTTAGAGAGGGGAAAGGGAACAGTAACGTTGCACAGCCCAGGAATTTTCTGCAAATCCTCGTCTTTGATGGTAGGGAACTTCTGAAAAGCAGTAGCCAAGCACTTGCAGGCGGCGGTCTTGTCGTCGACCGTCGTTGCGCTATCGGCGAGGTTGTGTAGGCCGTTGCAGCAGGTCTGTGGAACTTTGTCCTGACCTCCTTGAGCGAACTGCAGGCATGGCATGGCATCGATTTCCACCGTGCTGCATTGGACAGCCTTTGGCGTTGGCTGTCTGCTCTCTGCAACGCAAATGAAGAGGACGGCAGAGATTCCAAATATGATGACAATGTTTGAGATGATCGCCTTCTTCATCATCATCATGTTGTTGTTTTGATGGTACGTTGCTAGCAATATATATGTATGGGTTTTGAGGGAAAGAAGTTGTCTTTGTGAGTTTGATGGAGAATGAAAGAAGGGGGATGGGGCTTATATAGTCCCACAAGTTTTGTCTTCCTATATATCAACACATTTTAAGTAAATAAGCTTTACGTTAAGGTTCAGGATTACATAAATGAGAACAAAAAATAGTTCCAATGCGGAAGAGTTTGAGAGATTAGTCCACGTGATAATAATGTGAAAGATGGGCATCGTGTTCATAGACTATCAATCTAACTCTTGTACAGTGTATGTATAAATAGTTGGGTCCGTTTTCAGTGTTGTTTGTTCACCTTTAATCGTTATCCATTTTTTTACTACGGGAAATTGAACCATTAGAATTATCGAGTATCAATTAAACCATATTCGATAATTAATTCCTGTTAACTGAAACCGACTATCAGGTCTAAATTACTTTAACCTAAAAATACACCTTATGCTCTTAATTTTATTGTTGATGCACTATATGACTATAACATCATTGTATACGCTTAATTTTATTGAAACACCATAATTAAAATAATTGAAACAAATGGAACCCGTTGAACATGTTTTGGCTTTTTATTTTTTTCATAGAGCAATATATTGCCATAAAAAAAAAAAGAAACCGAAAGAGGGGAGACAACCGACAATAATCGGTTGATTGAAGACGGCACTAGTGCAGTCACTGCACTATAGAATCCGTCGTGCGAGTGAGAGAACGCCCGCTCTTTTCCTTTAACAATGACGGGGTTACAATAGAATTTTGGGAGAGAATTTCTAGAGAGAGAAGCTTACAGAGGGATGGAAGTAAAACCTGAATTCGCGGGTACCCAACCCAACCCAACCCAACCCGGTCAACGCAGGTAAAACCCGTTTTGACGGATTTGGGGGCCGAGTTCGGGTTTAAACCCGCTATACTTTTTGGTGGCTGGGTTTGGGTTTAGCCATATCCAATCCGTGGATACCCGAACCCAAGTGCATACCCCCACGACCCACGGAACCCTTAACTAATTAACTCTAATTTTTAAACTAATTCCTCACACGTTTAATTAATCATATTGTTTGTGGATGTTTATCTTTAACATTGAACAATTAGTATGAATGAACGCATGGGTACGCATGAACCCGCGGATACCTAGCTCAATGGGTTGGGTTTGAGTTTTTCAAATCCAGTGGGTTTTACCACGTTTTTTTTTTCCTTCTTTTTTTTTTGTGGATAAACCCATGGGTTTAGGTTTGGTATAAGCCGCCCCAACCCGACCCATTGTCGTCCCTATTTACAGGTCTAGAGAGAGTCTAAAAAAATTCATCCTCTCACCCACCGTAGTAAATGCTCTATTTATAGTCTTCACTTTGGTGGGTGAGCAATCAATGCGATGTGACGTTCGAGCAAGTGGGAGGTATGGTCTCCGTCCACATCCTTCTCGAGACATGAGCCCTTATCAGTAGTACGACATCGTTTCCGATTCTTCCTTCCTCTGACGACCATCCTTGTTGGTAGTACGACGTCATTCCTCGTTCTTCCTTCAGTGAGTAACCATCTTCAGCCGCTCCTTGCCTTGACGCCCTCATCCCTTCCGTTTCTTCTCACACCATAGTTGACGCGCTTCTACCCGCGCCATACCCTCAACAGGTACCAAACTGCAATTTACATATGAAACCTCATTTTTTTAATTAGACGGATAGGGGCCAAAATTTGGTCGAGCGACTCATGCAGCCTGAGCTGTTAACCGTCTTGGTCGCTCACTGACCGAGAAAACTAACCGCTGCAACTTCTACACTAACTCGAACTAACTTCGTGGCCGGGTGCCAGTTTACCGGTTGGAATGGCCGGTCCGAATTAAGCGTTGCAATGGAGAGAGGGGCCATGTCGTCATCAGAAATCTGGGAAGCCGTGAGCGAAGCACCGGACGACGTCTTTGGCCGTAAAGCTTCGGTTCGGCTACATGTTGGAGAGGCAAACCGAAGCAGGCAAGCTGAAGCAGGCAAGCAGATGATCTCCAATTTGAGCATATTGAGAGATAGACTATGATACAATCTCAAATTGGTCATTAAACAAGTTTGGATTGATTGATCAATAAGGCCTCCCAAACAACTTGAAGAACCCCAATATTTGGCCAAGTTATTTTTCTATTTCAGGTACCCAACTTTGCATGTCTAGCTCTCTTAATTTGCTCAGTGAAAATGGGAGTGTAAGGTCTCATTTTGAAGATGAAGTGTTTATCTATCCATTGAAGTGCTTGGAATATCCAAGAGAAACCAGAAAGGTGGTTTTCGAAGCTGACAAAAAGTGTATGTCAAACCGAGAAGAAAGCCTGAAAATGGCGAAGGCATGGAGCGTGTTCGGGAAGGGTACTTTGGAGCTCAATTCGAAGCTTGAGGTTTACATGCCATGGAAGTACAGGTTTCCTTCCACAACGATGAGGAATTGGGTGATTGATTTGGTTCCTGGAAGACATCGAATGAAGGCTGGCAAAATCGTATGAAGACAGTTTTTTCTGCCTTCGGAATTCAACAAATCCGAATCCTTCTTGGATTAGGATTAATTTTTTGTTTGTACTTTAATTCCTTTTTATAGTTGGTTTAGACTTCCTTTTCGATCGAGTTGTACCATACATAGAACATCTCTACGAGTTACTTTTTTGATGATGGTGAGGAAATCTTATTAAAGAGGAAAAAAACCAGAACAGAAAAATCCAGTACGGAACGAAGAAACCAGCTCAGCCGACAGCGTTCACAAGTATTGAACCTAAAACAAGGAAGCCGAGAGTTGGGAAAAGAAAAAAAAATAGCTAACATCAACAGCCAGGGAGGAACCAGATGCCAACAAAAAGCATCTGCATAAACTCTTTCCTCCAAAACAATGAGAAAATGAAACTAAAATCTACGGGTCCCAACCATCCCCAATGCACAACACCTCAAGGCTCTTGAGCAAAACGCTACCACAGAACCCAACCATCAAACCTCCTACAGAAAAATATCAACAGGGCTACTTTTGAAGCCCTTTTGAACACCACTCTGGGAGTGCTTCCGGAATCCCCGAAACTACATTGGTTTCTTTCCAACCACGCCTCCCAACAGATCGCATGAAGCAAACAGAAACCAATCCAACCATTCATGTGGTCCGGCTTGTCATAACTCCATCTTCTAATCGTATCGTAGATATCCTCTGACGCGGGACAATGCCACTGTGATCGTACTTTGCAGCATTCCAAATACACTTGGTGTAATCACAGTTCACAAACAGATGGTCCACATAAAGGCGTTGATCTTGGATGGAATAACCTGTCTCCAGACCGAGGCAGCAGGGAAATGGGGCACTCCTGGATGGTTGATATTAATTAGGTACCTGTACATTGTTTTAACAGAGAAAGAAGAATCGGGTTGTGGAGACCCCACAAGCCAACTCGGTCCGCTGGTTACACGATGACACTCAACAGAATTAAGAGCATTAATCAAATCCAACCGCTCTCTCTGCCCCCCACCATGCACCCCCCACACTAAAAATCAAGTCAACATTCCAGTTTAAGTTCTCACCTTGATGATGGCAATGTTCGAGATCCAAGCATTGGGTAACGAGGCGGCTGCAGCAACTCTCGGGAAGGCGTCTGCAAGAATCACATCCGACATCCAATGATCATGCCAAAACGAGACTCATGCTCCTCCACCAGTTCTCTTCTCTACGAGTTATTAGGATTAACTAGGTCTCTTTAAGTCGCTTTGATTCGTTGTAATTTTCAGATTTTGATGTTCAATTGAATAAACATGAGGGTTGGTTCCATAGCTTCTTGCTTTGTGAAGTTGGAGATCTTCCTAGTCGATTCTATGTTAGATTTCGAACTTGTATCGTTCAGTTATCCCCACTGATCGTGGCCAAGCATCTACCTAAAGTTTTTGAGTCTCTTTCCCAACAAGAAAGTTGCACGAAATTTACCATCCCAAACACGAACTCAAAACCTTGTTTTGTGTTCTTCCCCGGGTTTCAATTCAATCTTTGAATTGAACCTTTGCCGTGCTTCTCATATGAAAATCACCTACCTAGGGGGTTATAAGACTAAATGGTCATGATATGAGAGAATCGACTCTAGATTCGGAGATGGGAAGGAGAGATTTTGTAGATCTGAAAGCTAGCCAAATTATAGGAATTTTCAATTTTGGGTTTTCAGACGGTGGCATATATATGCACTAGTGGATTTTCTTACAACATATTTGTCTAAGCTGTGTAATATTACCTATGTTTGGCCCGGCTTTTTAGAAGTGCTTTTCGGCTTTAAAAGCTGAAGTATGGTCAAACACCTCTAAAAGCTCGGCTTTTGAAAAGCCGAAAAACGCTTTTGTGTAACATAAAAGCAGCTCCGATTCGGAGCTTCTGCGAAAAGATATTTTGAAAATACAAGATTATCCTTACCATATTTTAATTTTATTTCAGAAAATATAATTTTCTGTCATTTATATCATTTTAAAAATAAAATAAATTATAAAATAATATTATTTAATATAAAAGAAATATAATAAGATCCATTTTGACTACTTTTATTGTTTGAATTTTTTTCATATTTTATATTATAAGTCATTTACAGTCATTTTACACAACCTCACATATTAAAAAGCACTTCTAATAGTTTTACAAACAAACACTCAACTGTTTTTTTTTAAGTACTTATCTAAAAGCTCCAGCAAGAAGCTGCTTCTACAAAAGCTACAACATGGCCAAACTAAGTTATTAAACGATGGCGGTTTTTCTACATTCAGATGGGTCCTTGGTCGCTCATGCTAGAATATTTGAGACAGCCAATTCGTCGCAAATCACTACAAGAAACTTCACTTTCTGCGACGGAGTTGGCCGTCGCAGAAGAGCCTAAAATTCGTCGCTAAAACCTTCTGCGACGAATTTTAGCGTCGCAAAAGGTAAAAACCCTTCGTCGCCTATACAGCGTCGCAGAAAGTTCTGCGACGAAAAAAAACTGATTCGTCGCTGGAAAAAAAATTCGTCGCCGAAGGACAATGATTCAACGACGACCATTTCGTCGCAAAAGCATCTTTCCGCGACGACAGTTCCTCCGTTGCAGAAAATGAGGCTGTTTTGCGACGGTTCCGTCGTTGTAGAAAGTTTGATTTGCGACGGACACTTCGTCGCAGAAAGTTTGATTTTCCAAAGACTTCTTTAGCGTTATTCCAAATTATTTTCGGGTTAATTTCAGTATAGGTCATAATTTATTGCCCGGTTAATTTCTGTATAGGTCACAATTATTATTGCCAGGTTCGTTCTGGTTCCTTACTTAATCAACATCAAATCTGCAAAAATTACAGATCCGCCCAAATACATTCACTTTCATCTCCTTTCCAAAATGCAGATTCGCAAAGTCCAAATCGCAAACCTGGAAAAAAAAAACGCGTCAGATTTTGTAAATACAATAAAAAAAACTTAGAATTTTTTTTGGTAAAGTGGAAAAAACCAGATCTACATCAGTGCACGCGATTCTACATAAAAATACCATAAAAAGAGAAGATCTGGTTCTTTCTTTCGCTTTTCTCGTCGGAAGAGAAGATCATGTTCGTCCTCCCGTGGATGTAGCAGATTCGCCGCTGCCAGAGGGCATCGGCGAGCCATCGAACTTCCTTCACCGTCGTTGGAACAGATCGGACAATAGTCGAGCTTCCTTCACCGTCATCGACACCTGAGACCATCGGGGACCCCCTCTTTTTATTCCTTCGTTCGAAAACAAAATCCGGAAAGAAAAATGTCACAATCTCATTTTTGAACCAGAAAACCTAAAGAAAAACACACATGCAGGTCGAATCTTACCCGACTCGTCGCTTTTCCAATAAAGAGGAGCCGATTCGTCGCAGTCAGAGGCCAAAACCGATGCCACCCGTCGATCTTGCTTCGCCGCAATTGATACCCGAAGCAACAGGCGATGCGGCGACCCCTTTTCTTCTCCCTGCCATCGATCTTTCCTTCAATGCCATCGAGAGGAGCTGATTTGTGAGAGAAGATGAGAGAAGAAAAAGAGAGTTCAGGGCGGCTAGGGTTTTCTACCCTTCGTCGCCGCGAATAGAGAGAGGAAGAGTGGAAGACCAGATCTGGTTGGAATCGTGAGAAGGCAAAAAAAATGAGAAGGAGAGGCGGCTAGGGTTTGCGTGAAGCCCAAATCCATCAATTTATACTCTTGTCCCGCAAATTTACTAGTTTGCCCAACATTTTCCGCAAATTACACACCTGCCACCGTCACTTTATCTCTGATTAAAAAAGTTAATGGCCAACGCAATTGCCAGGAATCGAACCCTCAACCTACTCCACGCTTATGAATATTATTAGCACTCAAGCCAGTTAGTCCACCACAATCATTTGTTATTTTAGTGTATTGTAATCATCTTACTGTTTAAATATTATGAAATCCAAAAAACAAAAGAAACCTTATGTCAGATAATTAAGTCCAAATATAAATTTTCCTGAAACATTATACGATGGCTAAAAAACGTCGCATAAAGTCTATGGACATTCTGCAATGACGGATTATCGTCCCAGAAAGTTTACAAACATTCTGCGACGCCGATTCATCGTCGCAGAAACCTCCCAAACATTCTGCAACGACAAGCTATCGTCGCAGAAAATCTACATACATTCCGCGACGAAGGACAATCGTCGCAGAACGTCTACTTTTATTCTGCGACGACAGACAACCATCGCAGAAAACGCCGGAATATTCTGCGACGATTGGCTATCGTCGCAGAAAATCTATGTACATTCTGCAACGACATACAATCGTCGCAGAAAGTCTACATACATACTGCGACGACAGACAACCGTCGCACAAAGCTCCCAAATATTCTGCGACGACAAACAACCGTCGCCGAAAGTCTACATACATTCTGCGACGACATACATTCGTCGTAAAAAGATTTCACACAATTTGCGACGAAAAAGTGAAATTCGTTGCAAGTTGTACACTTTCTGCGACGAATTTCCTATCGTCGCTATAGAATTCGTCGCAGAAAGTGCAGTTTCTTGTAGTGAATATATTTTTTTGCGACGAACATTGACGTCGCTGCAGACAAGCACGTATCCCAATGAATAAAAACTATCCCCTCATCGCAAAATCACTTTCTCATGGTCTTTATTTCTTTTCTTTTTTTTTTGGGTAAAAACTCTTCGTCTTTCTTTCACTGACAATATTTGCGACGGAAACCTAACTGGCTCACTTTTGCAAAGATTTTTGTTATGTCTCCAGAAATTCCATCGCGAAATTTGTCTTCTCCGGTAATGATATCACGAGTTTCTTTAAGCATAACAGAAACTTCATAAATTTGAACGTTTTTTAATTTTTTTTTTAAATTTAACCAAATGTAAGACAAAAATATTTAGATAGTAAAATATAATTTTCCATTAATAGTTTTAGGATTTATATGCAAAAAATAATAATTTTGGCTACCAAAAATAATTTTTCATAAGTAACACAAAACTAACGAAGCATATCAGAACTTCACCACACGATACTTACTATGTTTGAGGCACACTAACAACTATGTGAAGGTGAAGTTTGGTCCAAATTCAATCAATTCATCATGAAGCATAAAATCGTCAAAATCCTTGAAAATTGTAAAGAGTCTTTTGAAATCGTGAATAGTGTAGGATTTTAAAGTCTATATAAATTTTATATTGAAATTGAGATCAAAACAAGTAATATCGTAAAATCGCAAGATTTTAGGATTTAAATCGACTTTGACTAATCTGATTACAACTATCGAATTTTGAACATATATAATTACGTTAACTTTCGTAATTTTTAGTCAAATCAATTGATTTGTACTCATTTCCATCCATCCCATGCCAAACTACGACAATTTGCGCTCATGTTGTAGATTGAACCCTATATCCAAGTGAACGATATTATGCCGACCTTCTTGTCTGGGCATCATTGAATGAGTATCACAATGCATAAACATAAATCTTCGAAACTTTTGAACTTAAATAGTATAGCGAGAGTAGGAATAATATTACAAATGGATATAAAATTTTGAAAGTACAAGCTTTACGAGAATGAAGAGTGTGTTTTTTTAACAGGCTGATTGAATGGGTGTTTCGGAAACAAGGAGTGACTTAGTTTGTGATGTTTCTGGCTATATATCGCATGAATCAAAGGTATGTATATAGCGCTTAGATAGAGAGTATATGATTAATGTAATTCGTCATCATGACACAATAAACATTCTTGTAGACGAATTCAACTTTTCGATCTTTCGATCATCATTTCGCTTCTAATAGGCAATAGTGAACTGCTTGATGCTGCAATCAAAATTGAAGAATGGGAAGTTAAAATAATCAGTGGTGCAAATGAAAGTGGCGTAATGAAGAAAAAAGAAGTTCAAAACTGATGCTACCAGCTGATTCCACTTACTTGTCACATTTGAGGTTCTTAGAGAGGGGAAAGGGAACAGTAACGTTGCACAGCCCAGGAATTTTCTGCAAATCCTCGTCTTTGATGGTAGGGAACTTCTGAAAAGCAGTAGCCAAGCACTTGCAGGCGGCGGTCTTGTCGTCGACCGTAGTTGCGCTATCGGCGAGGTTGTGTAGGCCGTTGCAGCAGGTCTGTGGAACTTTGTCCTGACCTCCTTGAGCAAACTGCAGGCATGGCATGGCATCGATTTCCACCGTGCTGCATTGGACAGCCTTTGGCGTTGGCTGTCTGCTCTCTGCAACGCAAATGAAGAGGACGGCGGAGATTCCAAATATGATGACAATGTTTGAGATGATTGCCTTCTTCATCATCATCATCATGTTGTTGTTTTGATGGTACGTTGCTAGCAATATATATGTATGGGTTTTGAGGGAAAGTTGTGTTTGTGAGTTTGATGGAGAATGAATGAAGGGGCATGGGGCTTATATAGTCCCACAAGTTTTGTCTTGTAAATAGATGAGGACAAAAAATAGTTCCAATGAGGAAGAGTTCGAGAGATTAGTCCACGTGATAATAATGTGAAAGGTGGGGATTGTGTATTTGTGTTCTCGTGGAGTATCAATCTAACTTTTGTAAGAAATATGAATACGGAAATTTGTATTTCACTAGCCGAATATAATTTATTTCTAAATTATATAATTAATAATCACAAAAAATTGTAAATACATCTAACAATTACATACAAGTTTTTGAAACCGTTTAAAAACCAATGTTAAATACCGTCTATGAAACGAGCCAAAGGTTTTGGTGGCCGGAACCTAGTCGGGCCTTCCATCTCTTTCGGGCGATTATTTAAACATCTACACAATATTATGTAAATATTGATATGTGGATGACCATTGCTATTACCACTTTAGATGCTCACTTGTGAGTTACATGTAACCCTCATTTCTACATTTGATAACTCCTTTATATTTTATTATCTCTCATTGATATAAGTATGTAGTGGTTACCAAGGTGTGCTTATAAATAAAGCACTCTATTATATCAAAAGAGAGCAATGAATAAGAAAGCTCACTTCCCCCTCTCTTCTTTGTGTCTTTCCCTCTCTAATCTTCTCTTGTAGTTGTTTATATTTTTCATTAGTTTCACAACACGTTATCAGCACGAAGCTCTTTTAGCATCATGGTTGGTCATTGTCTCTCTACACAATCTAGTATATTGAAGTAAGATCACAATATGATCAAGGTATGCAAATCTTCGTCTTCTTTCATATCTTATTTTCTTCTTTGTGGTGAGATTATCTCGTTCCAATATATTAAGATGGATTCTACTCTTTTCTCGTAGTATTCCATCCATTGATATTTTATCACGTACATCCATTTGGATTAAAATTTTGGGTTGTGTAATTTGATTATATTATTATGTGTTTTACAATACAACATCGGTTCCTAAAATTAAATTGGTGTTTTGATATTATCGCAAATTAAAATTTGCTCATTTAGTACAAATAACTAGAAAAGTAATATAAGTGATGAGTTAATTTTTCAGTTCTCCGTGTTATCATGTTTTTTTCAATCCCACATTGATACCAAACAAAAAAAGATTTTATTTCAAAATGAATTCTTTAAAATTTATGGCATTTAGTTATACCAAACGGTATGTAATATTTTATTATTATATATGTCCAAAATCAATTAATTGTTAAAACAAAAACCCTAAACTAATTCGGAAGCACGTTCAGCTCGTCTCCCTGAAATCTCCCCTGCGCCGGCTCCCAACAAACACATTAGAGCCCCACCTCCACCCTGCTAATAATGAGACCGGACCACTGCTGGATGGTAAGCAGAACCATCTCTCCTTCCTTCCAAACCCCATGAGCAAGATGAATCCCTTCGCAATTTTGCTGGCGGCCGCCCTCATTCTCTGCACTACCAACTTCCTTCTGCGATGTAACTCCATCACCCGTGACCAGCCGGCTTGCAATCGTTAACCACCACTGTAAATTTATTTATTCTCTCTACTCCAGCCGCCACCGGCGAGGAGATGCGGGAGCAGGCGTCAGGGGAGACTTCAGGGAGACGAGCGATCGGTACTTCTGGATTAGTTTAGGGGTTTGGTTTTTCTAACATAAATAATAAAATAATTGAACAAATTAAAAGATAGATAAACGTAAGTTAATTAGATCTGTACAATTTGTGGAAGGCTATAACGAATACAGACCACGATATACGTGGAAAAAATCCCAAAATACACCCGTTATTAATCAAATTCTCAAAATAGTGACTACATACTAAATTTTGCAATCTACAAATGTTTGGGTTTATCGCAGTCGACGACCGCAATAAATGCATCATCGCAGTCGACGAGCGCGGTAAAGGCCTGACCTAAGGCTAAAACTTCAAACAAACGTAACTTTGCACTCCGTTATCTGATTGTAGCAATTTTTTTTTATTCCGCATAATTTTTAGAGATCTTGCAAGACATAGGCAGTTTGGTCCAGTCATCATCCCGAAAAAAAAAACGTTTTTACTACCCCGAACATTCAATTTTTCAAATTTTCCAAACTTTGGAAGACTAACTTTGTGCTCCGTAGTGCGTTACGAAATTTTATTTTCGCTTAAATTTTTCAGGACTCCAACTTTTATCATAGCCATAATTTCATAATGTATGTGGATTTGTGGATAAGTAAAGGCAAAGTTATTCCCAAAATACTATATATCCAAAAATATTTCTTGATTTGAAAATTCATTCCTAGTAAAAGTTGTAGTCCTTAAAGTTATGCACAATAATTTTTTTTCTTGACGTTTGGATTGCGGAGCACAAAGTTATGGCCTTCGAAAGTTAGGTGA